AAATGACAACTGTCCGCACGATCATCTCTATAGCTGCTTCTAGTGGTTGGACTCTTCATCAAATGGATGTGAAGAATGCTTTTCTTCATGGTGACCTGAGAGAAGATATTTATATGACTCCACCTCAAGGCTTATTCTCGTCATCTAAAGGCGCGTGTAAGCTCAAACGCTCCTTATATGGTTTGAAACATGCACCTAGAGCATGGTACGAGAAATTCCGCTCCACTCTACTTGGATTCTCCTTTATTCATAGTCAATATGATTCTTTATTTATTCATAGCACATCTACGGGTATTGTTCTGCTTCTTTTGTATGTTGATGATATGGTTATTACTGGTTTGGATCATGCTTCCATTCAGCGACTTAAGCAACAGTTACAAGCCTCATTTCACATGAAAGATCTGGGTAATCTACATTATTTTCTTGGTCTTGAGGTTCATTCTACATCCAAGGGCATCTTTCTCCATCAACACAAGTATGCTACAAATTTGATTTCTATGGCCGATCTAGAATCGGCTAACCCGGTAGATACTCCTCTTGAGGTTAATGTTAAATATCATCGTGATGATGGTGATCTTTTGCTTGATCCCTTATTGTATCGACAACTTGTGGGCAGCCTCAACTACTTGACTATTACTCGCCCTGACATATCTTTTGCTATTCAACAAGTAAGTCAATTCATGCATTCTCCTCGTCATCTTCACTTGGCTGCGGTTCATTGTATAATTCGCTACTTAAAGGGAACCTCTCACCGCGGATTATTCTTTTCCGTTGGAATTTCTCTTCAGTTGAGTGCTTATAGTGATGCTGATTGGGCAGGGTGTTCTGATACTCGTCGATCTGTTACTGGTTGGTGCATGTTTCTTGGTTCTTCATTGATCTCTTGGAAAAGTAAGAAGCAAGCAAGAGTTTCTAAATCTTCTACTGAATCAGAGTATCGTGCCATGTCTGCTGCTTGTTCAGAAATACTTTGGCTTCGTGGTCTTTTGGCTGAACTTGGATTTCCCCAAACAGAGTCAACTTCACTTTATGCTGACAATACAAGTGTCATTCAAATTGTTGCAAATCCTGTTTTTCATGAGCGCACCAAACATATCGAAGTTGATTGTCATTCAATACGTGACGCCTACGATAATCGAATAATATCACTTTCTCACATCAGTACTCAGTTGCAGGTTGCAAATATTCTTACCAAGGCTGTTCCACGCCCACGACATCAGTTTCTTGTTAGCAAATTGATGCTCCTTGACCAGCCGCATCAATTTGAGGGGGGTGTTAATCAGGAAATAATCAAACGCATTTATTGTGAATAATTTACATTCATAGAATAGGAAATTGCCATTATAAGTTGTAATTAGTTATTATGAGTTGTAATTAGTCATTATGAGTTGTAATTACCGACACTATTATATATAGTATCAAATGCAATGAGAAAGGTATCAAGCAAGAATTCATGACATGATGATGGTACTAGCTTGTAAAATCTCCACGGGCCAGATAATTGTTCCAATATCAGTCATAGACGAGGAACACCCTTAAAGGGCTTTAATTGAGAAATGTGAAAAACTAAATGGATCTTAGCATGGTCTGACAACTTCAAATTATAAGCAACTTCACCTAATTTGGTTAAAACTTCGAAGGGCCCAAAGTATCTCATTCCCACGTCAGAGCCTTAAACCAAGACTTAGGATTGTGAAATGTAAAGCATCTCAAGAATAATTCCAAGTTACCCTTCACCTGCTTGTTTTTTCATATACTGTTGAGCCTTTTCCAAGTTACCCTTCAATTGCTGTAAGATTTTATCTCTCTCCAGCAACTCTTCTTGCAGTTCTGGCAGGTCCGAAACTTAAGATACATATCTTGTCAATGTGGGAGGGTCTCTTTCATATAAGGCCTTGAATGGTGCCATGCCGATAATGGTTTGTAAAGCAGTTTTATACGAATACTCTTCCCACGTCAGAGCCTTAAACCAAGACTTAGGATTGTGAAATGTAAAGCATCTCAAGAATAATTCCAAGCCTTTGTTAAGCACCTCAGTTTGGCCATCTGACTGAGGATGGTAAGCCGAGCTCATGGCTAAAGTAGCCCCTTGAAGTTTGAAGAGATGTTGCCAAAAAGCACTAGTGAGAACCTTGTCTCTATCAAACACAATCGATTTAGGCATACCATGTAGCTTGACAACATTGTTCATAAAAGTTTCTGCTACTGACTTACTAGTGTAGTCAGACTTCATGGCCATAAAGTGAGCATATTTGGTTAAGCGGTCCACCACTACCATAATAGTAGTATAGCCATGTGAGGAAGGAAAACATGTAATGAAGTCCATGGCTATATCTTCCCACACCTATGATGGTATTGGAAGAGGTTGCAGTAACCCAGCAGGAAATGTGTTAGCTATCTTAGCTTGTTGACAGATTATACAATTCCATACAAGTTCTTGTATATATTTCTGCAATGTTGGCCAGTAAAATTAAACTTTGATTTTGGCAGTAGTTCTGGTAATGCCCGCATGACCTCCTATAGAAGAATTATGATACTCTTGTTGCAATTTTTGGACCAAATCAGATGGAGTAGGAATCACAATTCTATTTTTCCAAAATAGTAAACCTTCCTTCACTGTGTAGTGCTGGTGAGAATGAGAACTTCTGCTACACTTGGACATAATATGCAATAAATGAGGATTTGTTTGTAATGCCGCTTTGATTTCCTGAATTATTGTTAATCTAGGTTCTGACCAGGTCAATACCATTATTCTAGAGAAGGTATCAGCCGCGATATTCTCCTTGTCTGGCTTATACTCAATAATGAAATCATACCTAAGGAATTTATGCAACCATTGTTGTTGTTTCGGTGTCTGCAAGGTCTGCTCCATCAAGTTCCGTAAACTCTTTTGATCGGTGCGAACTATAAATTTATGACCCATCAGATAGTGTCTAAATTTAGCAATCGCTTCAGAGATAGCCAACATTTCTCTGAAGTAAGCAGACTTTTTCTGAATTCTAGGCATTGACTTTTTTGAGAAGAAAGCAATAGGATGTCCATCTTGTTGTAGCACTGCACCTACTCAAATACCTGACGCATTAGTCTCCAATAAAAAAGGTTTTTGAAAATTCGGTAAAGCCAACACTGGTGCATAAGTGATTTCTAACTTTAATTTCTGGAAAGCAGTATCTGCTTGCTGGTTCCAGATATAACTATCCTTTTTTAGCAAATCCGTTAAAGGAGCAACTAGGTTAGCATATGACTTAATGAATCTTCTATAATACCCCATCAAGCCCAAAAAACCTCTCAATTGCTTGATGTTTTGGGGATTTGGCCATTCCAAGACAACTTTGACTTTGTCTTTATCCATAGAGACACCTTCTCCATTCACAATGTGACTCAAATACTCAATATCCTTGACTCCAAATGAGCATTTGGATAACTTGGCAAACAAGGTATTCTCTTGTAATACTTTGAGGACTTCTTCTAGATGTCTTAAGTGGTCCATCCAATTGGTGCTATACACCAATATATCATCAAAAAATACTAAGACATATTTTCTTAAAGCATGTTGAAGGATGTGGTTCATTAAGCTCTGGAATGTTGCAAGGGCATTTGTCAAGCCAAAAGGTATGACCAACCATTCATAATGGTCATGATGTGTTCGAAAATCTGTCTTGTACCTGTCCTCTGGTTGAACTAATATCTGATGGTAGCCTAACCTGAGATCCAATTTAGAAAAGTATTTAACTCCAAACAGTTCATCTAGAAATTCATCCACTGTTGGAATATGGAAGCTATCTTTGATTGTTAGAGCATTAAGAGCTCTATAATCAGTTCAGAATCTCCACGCTCCATCTTTCTTTTTCATCAAAATGATTGGTGATGAGAATAGACTTGTGCTAGGTTGAATGATCCCCTGCTGCAGCATTTCTTGAACCATGTTCTCAATTTGAGTTTTCTGACTATGAGGGTACCTATAAGGTTTAACCATAACAAGATTTGAGCCTTCCAATAATGGTATAGTGTGGTTCTGTACTCTGACAGGAGGTAGAGATGATGTAGTTTGAAATATATCTGTAAGTGTGTAACAATACTACCACTACAGGTTCAGTGTCCGTTGGTAACTCTTTAAAAGTATGTTCCAGCTTACGAGACTTTAGCAATTGAATAGTGAAATATTCTGCAATTGCATAAGTAGTGTGAAGTCTCTTAAAATGATGGAATTGAGTTGAAGCAGGTGCAATAGTAATCTCTCATGTCAATGTCACAAATTCCCATTCTAGAAGAATTTGAGTGTATATTTCTCTTCATAGACCTTTGCTAAGGACAATGCCTTAACAATGGACGTACGTGGGTGTGTGAATCAACACATCACGACGAATATTAACATTTAATCCACTAATGCAACAATCAATCAAAGCATCAATACTAAGACTATACACCCTATTAGCTTATGAAGTAAATTGCAGGTAGTATTCTACATTTACTGCATGTAGCTCCAGCTGTGTAATTGGTGACTCTAGAAACTTTGTCATATTTGTTTTCATTACATAATAATGCTCGCATTAAACAATATTTCTTGAAATCTCAAATAGGCCGCAAAAACTGCAATAAATCATAACAAAGATGAAAAAACCCGAAAAAATAGAAACTAGAATTTATGCAGAAGTGTGATTTCTCGAAATCAAGAGTTTTTATACCATTGTAAAAGCTTAATACTATATTTTCAATTATAAATAATATACAAGCACTAATAATAATAAATACATTATTTACAACACATATCTTGCTGATAAAATCCGCAACTGCGAACTTATATTTCAGCAAGAAAAAAAGTTAGAATAAAACTATAAGATGTACAGTGATTTCTTTCAACCTGAATTCTCCTAAAAAAATCATATACTTGGATAGTATATGTGGAAAGGAGAAAATCTAGTTTAGTGTTCAATTGTGTTAGCAGTTCACTAAGTTTTAGAACTATGAATAAAGTAAGATACTCTTTCAACCGTGACAATCTAAGCTTCAACATGCACTCGAACAACATCGTCTATTTTAGCCCTACATATTGGACATTTTCCATTCTTCCATTGTAACTCATTGGCACACTTCAAACATGCACACATGTGTCCACACCTGGTAAAATATTGTCATAGTTAAATCAGGTTTAAATAAGACCTCTATTTCTTTTGCAATGATTAAATTACGGATAACCTATAGTCTCCAAAAATTTGAGATGACTGTGATCATATGTATTATAAATATACATACCTGTAAAAAACCGAGTCAGCTTTTGTCTCATTGCAAATGCAACAGTTTCCTTTCTTAGCAACTTTGTCATGTGACTTCTTTTCATGTAACTGCATCTTCATTTGCATATCCATGCAACTCTTTATTGATTTCCTTAGTTCAGACATTTCTTGATAAAGTTGCTCCATGTGTCCTCTCATATCGTATATGATTTCCATTTCCTGTAATCATCGAGGAAATAAAAACCTTGCACTAAAATAAAGCCTATCTCAAGTAAGAGTTGAAAGATAAGCTTACAATTGAATGATGATTGATGGGTGGGGAGTTTCGCCGAGTATTTTCATGATAGAAAGATGGTGATTGATAAGGTTGTTGTGAAGATGTAGAAGCAACTCTATCGAAATCGTCACCAGGTTCATTGTCTCTATAACTCCATGATGAGGATTGATTTGAATAGTCTCCGACTTCATGATACGAATCGCTTACCAAGCTCTCTCCTCCTTGCTCCTCTTCATGCTCTTTATCATCTTGCTTCCTTTCCTCCTCCTCTTCTTCTTCTTCTTCTTCCTCGTTTAACGTTTCCTCTTCTTCGTCTACTGTTTTCTCTATTTCATTTTCTCGAGGAGTTTTTTCAGGTTGTAGGTGTTCTTTGAAAAATGCCATCAACGCTTCGTTGTCTATCTCATCGTCTTGATTAGTAACTAAATGTGTTTGTGTTCCCTTATGAGATTGCATCAATCTGTCCATTTTTTCTCGGAAGTCGCTCGAAAGGAAGTTCGACACTGTTCTTCTGCAAACATAATATACTTGAATTCAGTTTAGTGTTAAAAGTATAAATAAAATAATTTTCTTGAGTCTTTGACCAATTCTCAATCTAATTATCATACAGAGAGTCCAAAGGCTTATGGATAGCGATGTTGTTTCTCGTAGGTCAATAGATGTAGTTTTTAAGAGGGTTGATTCTGCCATCTAAAACGGACTAACATGCAGCTTTTGTCCGATTGCCTTCTATTTCTGTATAATCTTTATTACTAGCATATATATATATATATATATATATATATATATATATATATATATATATATATATATTATATATATAACCGTGTGTGTTAAGATATTATCAATCTATCTAACAAGAGAAGTATATACCTTTGAAGAAGCACTTGTATATCGTCATTTGGAGAGCCGGAGTCTTGCATCTCTTTATACCAAGATTGCCTTCGCTCTTCCCAATAGCTTCTCGGTCGAGAAATTTCTCTAAACCAGTCATAACTATTTTCATCATAGTTCTCTTCCAACATCTCTTCACAATTGCTTTCATCATAGTTCTGGTTACTTCCCTCTTCATCTACTGCACAATCATAATCGGTTTCTTCGTATTGATGGCTAATTTCCTCTTCGTCTTTCTCATTAACATTTGAATCAGTCACCGACGTAGCTGCCTCAGAAGTTTCCTTTGCATTATCACACTGAGCCTCAAAACATGTTTCTTGAGATTTGACATTAGAACTTGGAATATCTTCTTCTCTAATGAGAGACACTGACTTTTCTGTCGTTTCTATGGTGTGACTCGTAGTTCCATTAGCAATCTGTCTGCTTGTATCTTTACTGAGTTGATCAGCAATGGAAGAGTTTTCTAATCGTGTGATGTTATTTACAATCTCCTTGCGAGGATTTCGTATCTTCGCTACTTCTGCCTCGACTGTACTTCTTTGTTCCACACAAGTGTTAAATTTTTCCCTGCATGATATGAAGATAAAAGATATTCACTATCCTTACTTATGATGATTGTTGCAGTGTTCAACTTATTGAAACCAATACCAGAAAAGTAGAAAAGTATAAGATTAATAGAATAATTAGAGATCCCTCTATAAAATAGTTGACATTTGTATTGACATGATCAAACCTTAGTTGCATAATTGCAGACCCCTGTGGTTGTACTTGTTTGCTTACTTCAGATGATGTTGGTTTCTGGTCAGGTAGAATATTAGCTGCCGCACCACGTTGTAAAGATTTATGTCGTAGTAATGCCTGCATTCACACACAAAATGACTCAGAAAAAGGGTTTGTGGCTGCAATTTGGGCCATGATAATAGGTTTTTGATGTCTCCACAATAATTGAGACAACATGTCCTAAGCACTAACATAACAAAAAAGGAAAGAACAAGAAGATTAAGCATGTCTAGAACTGCGTTTACATGCTATTTCTCGCGTCCCGAGGGCAAACACATGTTTCTTTCCTCTTTGACACAGAAACGGCATAAGAAAATTACTCTTTTTACCTGAATGCGACCTCTTTGTGTGAACTTGGAGACTGTTCCACGTTCGGCCAGGTTCTTTAGCTCCCCGTGTCTATCTTTCTCCAACTGCATAAACAAATCATTGAAGGCTCGACGCCCTCTAATTCGGGGTGAACAAGTCACTTGAGGAAAAGCTTTTTGGTCCGAAAGTTCTGGTGCAAAATCTTTACGAGGAGAACATGCCACACTGCTATTACCACACCCTTCATTGTCATTGTCATCCCCGAAATATGGACATGGACTTTGAGTTTGGCTCGTAGAAGTGAGTTTCTTTATGATATCAGCAACACTGACTCTATCACTCTCTGACGAACACCACCTACTTTGTTCACCTGTCTCCGACGAACACCACCTACTTTGTTCACCTGTCTTATCAGACTCCCAATCAGGGAACGATTCTTCATTTCCTGATAACTGTCCTTCAAAACATTCTCCAATTTCTGACCCTCTTTGTTCCACCACAACAAACACATTCTCATTGTTACAAGTCGCACTTGTACCACCATTTGGACTTGTTTTATCCATTGGTGTATTGGATTTGGAACCACTTGATTGGTTAAGCCTTTTTTCCCATATCTGAACAAGCGAAGATGCACCGAGGTTTGATACCTCCGAAGAACATCCCTCAGAGGTAGTAGAACAAGTTGTCCTCATAGGCACGTCATCAATGGCGTTGTCAATGGATAACAACTCCGCTTCATTCTCCAACGTCGACACCATCTCACGAGCTTGTTTCGCTGCCCAACGATCAAGAAGCTGCGAATGCCTCGGGCTAATCAACGAAGCCAAACTCGACTCATCTTTGTTGTTGATGATATCACTAGGATTGTTTCTTGTCAAACGGATCTTCGCAAGATTGTTGCCAGGTTTTGAAACCCAAGCAGAACCATCATCATTGTTCTTGTTGCTATTGATTTGACCCTCGTTCTTGTTTTCATCTGTTGTTTGAGAATCAGAAGACATGGAAATGCACGTGTTAAGATGATCCATAACAAAGTTCTTAATGTTTCTTTGAAAAGCACCATGTGTAGCTTTAACTTTGTTACTCTCTCGATATCCATCGCGATGATTACGATCTCTCAAAACACAACCAAACGGGGAAGAAGTCGCAATTTCAACACCAGAAGATGCCATTCTTAGTTTTTCTTCTTCTTCAACCTTTCAACACGGTTTGGTTTGGTTTGGTTCGGCTTAACCTGAAATGCAAACAACCCTTTTCAGATGAAAGGGTAAAGAGATTCAAAACATTGCAATCTCACGTAAGACATCATGAAAAACATCATGGTAGACATGTTTTTTTATCTTGTTGAAAATCAGCACAGAAAAAACAGAGCAATGTGAAACATAGGAGAGAACAAACAAAAAAGAAAGGAATGAATTAAAGATTATAAATGGTAAATAAGTAAACGAAGGTTACCTCATTCCTGTTTTCTTTGTCTATAATTAGAGATGAAAGCGTAATAGATACGAACAATGACTCACACACAAAAATAAGGTAGTTTCTTATTTATGTTTTTTCAATTCAACGATGATGTTGTGTTTCTTAGTTTTTGGTTTGGTTCAAATTTAGCGTGGCTAAATATGGAGCAAGAAAAAAAAAACAAAGGTGTAAGGTTCTTGTAAGAAGGGTGTAATTAATGTAACATAAATGTATGAGATATTGAGAAACGTTAGATTTTGAGCCGTTGAGATTGTGGGGTCATTAAATGTACATTGTAAAAGAAAAAAAAGAAGCTACACAAAAGAGCGTCTCTGTGTAGTTTATTATTCACTTAATATGTTGATCACTTTCTATTTTAGACCCTGGTCTCATATAATAAATAAAAATTACTTTTTAAGTTCATTAGATATTTAATATATCTGTTTTATAAAATTTAGGATTTAGAGTTTAGGTTCATTGAATATCTAATGAATATGAATTATATATAGACCAGATACATTAAATATTCAATGAATTTAAAAAGTAAAATTTGTGGGACGAAGGAAGTACTTTTAAATAGAAATCATATATTCTTTGTACAGGTTAATAACTAAGTTCGAACTCAGAACTTTTAATTAAATTCAAAATAAATTTTTTAACGGAAAAGACTTATATCTTTGAGAGTGTATTTTTCTTAAGGTTTCATATTCGAATTCTATTAGGAGCAAAATTGCTTATAAAAAAAAGAACTTCTCATTAAATTGAAAACATAACCGTACTACAATATATTAAAAATATTTTTTATTGAAAATTCGATATCCATATGATCGACTAATTTGAAAGATCAATTCTACCTTTTACTCTAGGACTCAATTGAAGGCAGGATTGTCTAAAAACTTGACAAATCTGTACTCATTTCCACTAAAATATTTTTGAGGACCGTTACACGTTTTTTCTTCTTCTTGTCTTTAATCGTTCGTTTTAGTGGGTGTGTAGTGTGGCACAAGCAACATTTTTATGCATCATTTATGGCAGCTTTTACTTATATATAGATTAAAAAACAGTGTAGTATATTCGGTATTACTTACAACAGTTATAAGATTGTTGCCGAAAACAAAAAAAATAAGAGTTACTAGATCGTTACTGAAAACAAAAAAACAACAGTTATTACATTCTGCCAATTTTGTTTATCACTTCCAGTGATATCTTTTGATGTGTTTAATCTTTAATGGCTCCATATTGTTAGCCAAAATTGGTTTTAGAGCCATGCTATTTTAACACTATAAGATAAGAATATAGATAACTAATGCAGTTTAAATTTGTTTAAAAAAAAACAAATGCAGTTTAAATGCATTTAGTTCATTGTAACTAATACAGATTAAATACATATTAACGTATTATAACTAATGCATTTTAAATACATATTAAGTGCTTTTAATTTGCTTAAAAACGATAGATTTGACATGACAATTTTACTTGTTGTATTCTGTTTGATGTAGAAAGTGATCAAGAGATAAGACAAAAACATTTGATATGAGATCGGACAAAAACATGAGTTTTTGTCATTCACTAAATTATGCGACACTAAATTATGCGACACTTTTTATTATCCCAAACACAAGTTATTAAAAAGAGTTTGAATGCGCTATTTTTAAATATATTTCTCTCTCTCTATGAAAGTCTCAAATTGATTAGAAAGGTGGAGATTGACACATATCATCTTAAAGTTTTGGATGAATATATGATATGTTCATAAGGTGTCTTGCTCATAAAAAAATATTAAAATGAAAAATGCTCTCTCATGTTCACTCTCAAAATTGATAACTTAAAAGTGGCATAAGAGTCTAGTTTGAGTAAATGACCGACTCACTTGTATCGAAAGTCCTGTCCACATAGTGGTGGATATAAGGCATGTCCTATTGAAAAAGTATCAATGGCAATACACATGTATGTGAATGAAAGAGCTCTCGCTTAAGAGGGGACATTGTGGATAAACTCGCACTTAAGGGGGAGTGTGTTGGACTTGTACTCCCTTTTTATGTGGGGAAAGACTCAAATACGAATAGTCTATTTGTCACACTTATTTAAGTGGAGAGTGTCAATTTAGGATTAAGATAAATAGAGAGAAAATATGGATTCAAAGAGAAAAAAAAGGAGAGAAACTCATTCACGTTTTTCTGCACCAGTCTCACTAAATTAATGATCTCTGGTTCGTTAGTCGTTGGATCGAGCTCAAATTTGGAGGACAAATTCGTAACACATATATCTAACTTTTGACCGTTGGGATCTTCAAAAAGAAGTATGAGCTGAGAGATAATTGTTTCACACTAAAGCTGCAAATTTGTGTTATTTTTCAGCTTTTTGGATTCTTATTTGTAAGCTAGTTTGTTTTGTCATTTGTAGTTGCTATCACTATTTTGTGAATCAATTTAAGGCTTTCTTGTATCCTCAATTGATTATAGTGGAGCTATTTCTTTGGTCTAGACGAATCGCGGTTTTTACTCTCATATTAAGGGGTTTTCACGTTAAATATATCAGTATTTTTGTGTCTTTATTTGTTCAGTTTGTCGTCTTATATTTGTTGTTGATCCCCAAGGTTCCTATAAGTGTGAAGAATTTTATATCCGTTGCATATTATTATTTTATTTTGTCTTAATTTCCCATTAGAGTGACATTAGAGCTCTTGGTTAAGGGTTATTTTACTTGTTTGAATGGTGGAGTCAAATACAAAGATGAAGATGGTATTGTTGAGCGGTTCTAATTACCATTTATGGAAGAGCAAGATGAAAGACTTATTATTTGTGAAGAAATTGCATTTACCAGTTTTTAGTTCCGCAAATCTGGATTTCGTGTCTGATGAAGAATGGGAGTTTGAATATCAACATGTATGTGGTTTTATTCGACAATATGTAGAAGATAATGTTTATAATCATATTGCTAATGAGACACATGCAATAACTTTGTGGTAGAAGATAGAGTCCTTATATGCCTCTAAATCAGAAAATAACAAATTCTTTTTGTTGAATAACTTCATAAGTTTAAAGTATAAGGATGAAACTTCTATTTCAGATCACTTGAGTGAATTTCAAAGACTCCTTGATCAGATGTCAGGAATGGATATTAAATTTGATGATAAATTTTTAGGACTATTTTTATTGCTAGCTTTACCAGAGTCTTGAGAGATGCTTCGGGTTTCTATCACAAGTTCTGCTCCTATAGGTGTTTCTTTAGAAACGGCTAATGGTGGTATTCTTAATGTTGAGATGAGAAGGAATACACAAGATTCTTCATCTCAATCCAAGGTACTTATCACTAAAAATATGGGGAGAAGTCAGAAAAAGAAATGGAAAGGTGGTAAAGAGAATAGTAGCAGCAAGTCCAAATCACGATACAAGAATCTAGAACATCATTATTGTCACAAAATAGGACACATACAGAAGTATTATTATCACTGGAAAATGGATAACAAAGGCAAGAAAGATAAATCTAAAAAAAGAGATCATGATGATCGTGATAATGATCTTGTTACTAATGCTATTTGTAATGATTTTGTTATTCTATGTGATCATGAGTCTGTTAATCTCTTATAAGACAAGAGCATATGGATAGTTAACAGTGGTGCTACATTTCATGTTACGTTAAGGAATGATTTCTTCACATCTTATACTCCTGGTGACTTTGGAGTGTTAAAGATGGATAATGATGGTGTATCTAAGGTAATTGATGTTGGTGATGTTTGCTTGCAAACCAACATGGAAATGCAATTGTTGCTTAAAGGTGTCAAACATGCTCCGAATATCCATTTTAATTTGATCTCTGTGCATATGCTTCATGAATGTGGTTATGACAATCACTTTGGTTCTGGAAAGCGGAAACTCAACAAAGGTAACTTGGTTGTGGCTAAAGGGGAGAAGTTTTCTAAATTTTATTGGACAAAAGTTTTGATTACTAGGGACAGTGTGAATGTTGTCGACATAGAAGCATCTTTGTGGCACCAAAGACTTCGTCATATTAATGAGAAAATGGTTGAATATTTTGGCCAAAAAGGATATTTTTCCTGGGTTAAAGAATGCATATTTGGAGAAGTGTTCTCATTACATGGATGGTAAATAAATTAGAGTATCTTTCAAGAGACATTCTCCTTCAAGGAAGTCAAAGTTGCTTCAATTGGTACATTATGATGTTTATAGACCAGTAAAGGTAAAATATTTTAGTGGTGCATATTGTTTTGTTACCTTTATTGATAATTGTTACAGGAAACTATAGATTTCTGCCTTGAAGATAAAAGACCAAGTGTTGGAGAAGTTCAAAGAATTTCATGCTTTGGTAGAGAGAAAGACAATCGAGAAATTAAAAAAAATGTATTCATTTTGATAATAGTGGTGACTATTGTAGACTATTTGATGCCTATTGCAAGCAACATGGTATTGCACATGAAACGACTCCTCCTAAAGCTCCTCAATTGAATGGTTTAGCAGAGAGGATGAATCAAACACTAATTGAGAGAGTAAAGTGTATGCTCTCTGAAGCTAAGTTTCCAAATAATTATTGGGGTGAGACACTTTACATGACGATGCATGTTCTTAATCTTACCCCTATTGTTGCTTTGAACAGTGAAGTTTCAGACAAGATTTGGTTTGGAAAGAATGTCAAGTATGATTATTTGATAATCTTTGGTTGTAAGTGAAATTATGGCTGTCAGATCTCAAATATC